AATCGACGAAGTTGGCCGGTATTAGACAAAGTAACTTACCAATGGGACACGGGTTTTGAACTAAGCGGGGAGGGGAAGGGGAGGGGAGGGGATGGAGAGTTGAGAGGATAGAACGGAGGGAATTCGAGTTGCCCGGCGACAGCTCGAGAGTCCCCTTGGAAACTGTTCCTCTGTGGCGCGGACATTCGTCGAGAATCCGGGAGAACTTACTCTCTCTTTCCCTGCAGATCAAATATGCTTTTAGGTATAACATTTTGAACGAGACACGACTTTATCGTCGCATTATTTCACAACGGAAACTGTCACGAAATGCTTTATAAATATTATAGAAGATACATGGAAAAATTAATTATAGAGTTTATTTATATATAAAAAAATATTCGATCGTAGAGAATTTAGTTGGGATAAAGAAGATCTCTAAAGTAGTAAGTATTTTATCATTACGGTTAAATTTTTAAAATTATTACGATGTAATTCTTTACGAAATTTATCTCTTGGAGCTATGGCGTATTTAAGCGATTCCCTTTTCATATGTATAGGGAGAAGGTCACGGACCAGCTTCCTAGCAGAAATAATGGCGTACCCGAACCTGGATTAAAACATCACACCTCCCCCCTCTCCTCGTCTTAAATGTATGTAGATCGCATACCCTCGCTGTATACACACGCGCGCGTCCACCAGAACTCAAGTATTTATGTATTCAAATCCCCATGCTCATCGAGTGGGACGTTTGTTGGCTTTTCTAATAGAACCGTTTATTCTTGCATTAGCATATGCACATACAACCCGGCATCGCATATGCGATATGCCGAGATTCGTCCAAGAGCGTGCGTACACACACGCGAATAGTATATCGATTATCGTCGTATCTCGCTTCCGTATTCCCCCTTTCGAGCTGCGTTTTACCCTCGCGATCGCTGGATTGAAACTGGTAGCAGCAGTAAGTTATAAGAAATTTTGATTGGTCGTTTGAATACAGTTGGTAATCTATAAAATTATAGCATAATTATTACTACATTGTTAAAATCTAAAGAAAGATAAAACAATGAATAGAAATGTTTTATTGCCATTGTTTTTATTACACCGGATACATGGCTCGTTATTATAAATTTCTACTGTTTCTTCAAGAAGGATAATATAACTGATATTATATCGTTCATCGTGTTTAATTAGCAATTATGAAAAATCAACCACCTCATTTTTTTCCTCGAACGAAGGCTATTCGTAGATATCAATCGTCCAGAAGAGTGCGAGCGGTCCTCCGCACTAGAGAGAAGAGAGGCTCGAGAGAGCGAGAGAAGTAGAGAGAAAGAGAGAGAGGGTGAAAGACAGAGAGAAAGGCGAGAGACACTCGGGTGGTAAACAAACTGTCTGAAACACTCCGGGACGCTCCATTCCATTCGAGAACCCTGCGAGCCCCGTAGGTCCTCTCGACGGGCATTATCTCGGTACATATTTAAGTGCATGACATGAAGACTGCTGCCCCCCTTTCCTATTCGCCCCCGTGGCCTCCACTGCCCCTTCGGCGCACTCCTCGCCCTTGCCGTCCTCCCTCTAGCTACCCTCGCCTATATCTTTTGCAAAAGCCACCCCCGCCACCGTCCGCTGTGATTCCGCTCCTAGAAGTCCTCGTTTCCCGGCCGCCAGCGCCGTCGTTGCTGCCGCTGCCGTCGCCAACGTCGCTGCTGCTGCTGCTGCTGCCGCCGCTGCTGTTGCTGCTGTTGCTGTCATATGCAGCTCTAGGGCGGGTCATCAGATACTACAGCTCGGATAGTAGTGAGTGCGAGCGAGGCATGCGCGCTGCACAATCACGTGCACGCGCACACCCACAGATGAAGCGACTTAATATATACGTCACCAGCTAGCCGCGTGTCGGAAGACGTAAGGAGAAGAGGGGCAGTGTGTCGGTATGTAGGACGATGCAGCGAGATGACAGACATGGTAGCCTCGCACGAGCAGCGAGTCGAGATTCCCGCTTCCTGTCGCAAATGATCGCGCAGTTGTTTATTCCGATGGTTTATCTGTCGTCACATCGCGTTCGTCCTCGTTTTACAGTTAGCGATATTGCGCTGCATCGCTCGTATGCATTTGTAATATATTTGGGATGCTACATTCATGATTACAAATAATGTTACTAATAATGATGGTTACAAAAGTTGTAATTATGTAAAATTATAGTTATATTTCTATGCTTTCTTTATCAAATTTTACTAGAGATGTTGGTTAAACGGTTTTCAGAAAACTTTCACTATTCTTTGATACATCGAGACGTTATCGTTATCGTCAGGCAAATTTGTACGAAATGCCGATCGAGATCAGCGATACGCGAGGGGGGCGGTCGGCTGTATATGCGACGATCGGGAAGGAACGAAAAGTACCGGCGCGAGTACGAGAGGGCGATAGAATTGGCGAGAGAGGGCTCAATACCGATTCAACGATTCCGGGTCGTTTAGCATTCCATCGACAATCCGGACCGTCGACTACCGACAGGAAAGTGAGAGTCTTTCCTCCCTCTCGCCTGCACGCCGCTCTCTTCTCACCCCCTTCTTCACCCTCTCGTCGCTATTATGCTCGTTCCTCGTCAGCTGACTGTTGATCGAGGCTCTATCGCTTTCCATCATTCGCGACCGCGTGGCTGGCGCTCCTCGTCTTTTTCTACGCCTCGTCGAGCGATCTCCTCCTCCTATCCGGATTCTAAGTCCCTCGTCCTCTCGTCGCGCCCCCGCCGTCGACATTGCGAGCATCGAGAGTGACGTCGAGGGCGCATTGTCCGGATCTTCGCGGAGACCGGAATATCCCGCAGCCACCTCCTCTGTCCCACCTCTTCTCCTTCACTTCCTCGGGAAATTCCCGAGATGACACCGATGAGAGAGAGTCTGTCGAACGTCGATACCAAACAAAGTTTCGGGTTCGCGCGATTTTCTTGTCTTCAGATCGATTCGGAATCTCTAATACGTTTCCAGATTCTCCATATCTATATATAAAGTCCCGAACTTCAGATTCTATAGATTCTCGAAACTCTCGAGCAATTTGAATATAGAATATTTAAGGCCCGCGTATTTGCCAAAATTTCAGCTGGAATTTTGAAATAAAATTTATAATAAATGAATCTTAAGAGTCAGTTTAATATTTTATATGGTATATAAAATATATACCACATAAAAAAATAATATTATATATTTATTATTATATTTATAATTACAATTTTATTGAAATACACAGATGAAGTTAATCTTGAGACGTAGCCTATTTTGTGTTTCTCATGATTTAAGAAATCGTTCAAGTCTTTAGAGAGAATGATATACATATGTATTGATTAATTTTTCAATCTTTTATCATAAGCATTTACTTTAGAGATAATGTGAGAAAAGAAAATTACGTTTATATTACACATTACATGTGACTTTTTTAATTGATGATTATGTATTATGAAATTACTTATTAAAGCAAGAATCGAAGTGACAGGGAATAGAAACGATTCTTTCACGACATTTGCAGATACTTATTCATTTCACGATACTCGGATTTGAGTATACGTGTCTCGTGCTTAGAAGAATTCTCTCTGGCTTGAGTATAATTCAGCTATTATTCTGGAAACGAGAGCTCGGAACAATATACGCGAATCGTCAAGTTGAATACCAATTATGAAAAGTTGATACGCAAAGCAAGATATATCGACGTTCATTGACAATTTGCGATAAGTGCAAACAACAGTATTTGGCGTATGTACATATCTCATAGTGTATTAAAAATTTTGCAATGTTAATTGAGATACGGTGTTCGTACTTTGTACATTGTTATACATATACAGTCACCTTGATTACGTTTATGCGGCGAAACTCGAGTCAACAGGCAGTAGGACGAGCCATTTCTCGTGTCGTCGCATTACCCTTCGACACGCGATCGCGACAAGTATCGCGAAAATATCAAACGCAATTATCATTCCCTACGAACGATTTAAGGTGTTGATATGCGCGATTAACGCTTTTAATTACTTGCAAGTGTATTCAAGTAGTAGTCACTTATCAAAGCAAATATTTTGCATAAATTATTTATTTGAAAGCAGTTAAAGTGAAGGAATTGGAATTATAAGTGATTAATTGTGATGAATAAGTATTGTCTTGTAATATATATTTTTAATAATTATATTTTTAATAATTTGGGGAATCGTTGCTTTTGGACAGTCGTATATTTTTCTTTGCGTATCGTGTAAATTCCTTGCCTACTTAAATATCATCTTATTTACTGTTTTTTTATGGCCAGTGCGGAAAGATATGTAGGTACTAATAATTGATTAAATCGAGTAATTTAAATAATAAATAGTCATGATATATTTTATTAAAATTCTTTGCCGTTCGAATGTTGCATTAATTCGCAAGCCGTCGTCGATATAACTTTATGCTTTTTTTTTATATTACTTTTCATGCGCAATGCGATAAAGTGTGCAGTGTGAGCGATTAACGTTGAAAGTGTCGTGCAAAATGTTGCGCGGTTATAATTAATCGTATTTTCGCGAGTGTTAAGTTCATATCAGACTACACATTAAAAATTCAGGATTGAATTGCGAATTGAAAGTTAGAATTTGATCAACTAGATAATTTTTTGAAATTCATTTTATTTCTATAAGTTAAATACTAATTTAATTAGTTACTTTGGAATCATCAATTTCCAATGCGTAGTCCAATGAGCTTTATGTAAGTGCCATATATGAAGAACCAGCTATTGAAAAACAAAAAAAGGAAGAGGAGGCATCGGGTGAGCAACCTTGAGTAATTTACTATTTGTTGTTTATTTACTATTATTATTATTTCTTTTTATTATTTAAGAAATTACTTATGGAAATCTCATAATAATTATTTTATTAAATATCTTTGAAAAAACTTTGAAACAACTTTGAAAAAATAAAAATTTATCGCACGCAATAAGAATGCTTTGAGATGTTAATTATTTTATTTAATTATTTTGGACGCTGCTAATTTGAATATTTTTGTATTTTACAGGCCAACACTGTTAACAACGTAGTTGTACCTGCTGCGCATCGTATCGGTGAGTGTCGAATTATATTTTATTTTGACGCACAATGGGTCTATCAAGATAATATCACGTATGTTAAATATACACATCTAAAATTAAAGAAATACATTTACGGCATAAAAGTATTATAAATATAACTTTTATTATTATTTGCATTTAAAAATATGAAATTTTATTTTGAATACGGTTCAATTCATAGTCAACAATCATAAGTGTAGATGCAAGTGTTTTAGAATCTGAAATTATAATTTATACATATATTACCCGATATTAACTATTGCCATTCATGTTTGCGAAAGTTTGATGCGTACAACGGCTAGAATCGTATTTTACGGTCGACTTCATGCGCCGAGTGTTTGGACGTCACACGCGCGGCGGATAGCGCTTGATAGACTCGTTACGGGTGGCGGCGCATCTCAGTTTGACATTGTGACGAACGATAATTGCCGTATACCGAAATTACGATTAAACGTGCCATGGGACCGAAAGAATCGCCGCGATTTCGGCCGCGCCGCGTTGCATCGCGTCGACGTGACGGTTGGGCATTATGCGCGAAATGGAACCGCGATTACACGCGGACCGGCGCATTGTGCGACCGGCACCGGTATTTCGTGACGCGAATCATTAAAAACGTATCGGCATTGTGTTATAGGCGAGACAGAAAAAAAATAGAGAAAAAGAGAGACTGACGCACGCTCGCGCTGCTGGCGTCCCGTATTTTACATCGCGTGCCGATGTCGCGGCGATATTTTGCGTCAACCAGCGTAACGAGCCCCCGTTGGTTTATTAAACGTTCCGACCCGTAAGTTATTGCGCAAACGGCTAATTATTTTTGTGAAAAGCTATCGGCGCTGGCCAAAACCACCGGCGACATTTCGACATTTAATTAATGTCGATGCCGAGAGCACGTTACCGCGGAAGGCATGATGATATGAAATTCTTAATTGATATTTTGGTCACGATTTTTAATACATTTTTAATAAATTCTTTTGCCGAAGCAACATTAATCGTTCTATGTAAATCTTAAATCTCGATTTTTCTGGTCGACGTAAGATACCTGTATGTATAAGGTATTTTTAAAAATCAGTTGCAGTCATGTCAAATCATCTTTTAAATTAACAATATTAACACATTGGTAACTTAGTAATAAGCAAATTTCAATCGAGGATTTTGTAAGATAATGATAATACTCCGCTTAAGAATTGAGCGAATAAATGAATTTTGTTACTTTGCGTTATCTACCTAATTAAATCGCAAATCGCGCCAGCGCTTCTAATCGATTGCGTCGCGGATATCCTTAATCGACGGTTTATATTCTCTGTCCGTTCTATATATTTCGCATAAAATTCATCGTTCCCCTTTCTTCGCGGAGCGATCTTCGCGACGTCGCCGAAAATGTCCTTCCACTTATTCTCACAGCGCGCGGTTAACGCGCGGTATGCACACCGGCATGGACGAGGGTGAGAGAGGGGTGGCCCCCGGAGTCGTTTAATTTTGTTTATGCGAGCACTTTGGAAGACGTAAACACGGTATCTCAATTCACCGGCGTAATTTCGTCCCACCCGGCCGGCGCAGCTGGCTGCGTTACGATTATGGCGTAATCATATCGGATTGTTATTATGGCTGATGGCCCGGCCGCTGGGGTCGCTGCCGCGGTAGGGTGGGCAGGCTTATCTTTGAAATACGTTGATAGGACATCCTCTCCTCGGCTCGGTATGTCGAGACCTGCCTTCCTCTCCTCTCGCGAAAGACTTTCGGCGATCTCCTTCGTCTCTCCGGCTTCCTTCCCGCCGTATCCTCGGCAGCCGCGCACGCCATGGCTACGCTTTATCGCGGCAGGGGCGCGAGAAATTGCCTATGGATCCGGCCCCTTTCCCTCGACTTTTCTTCGCCTTCGTTTTATCTCAGCCGAATTTTCAATTCGCGCCACGAATTTCCCGATTTTCGTGCCGGTGCACGTTATATGGAACGAGAGAATGGGTCATCGAAAAGTTTTCTCTCGATACGGATTCGAATGATTAGACTTCTTAGTATTGAAAAAAAATGGTATACGTCAGAAAATTTAGATTTGTCGCAACTGTTGAGACTACCAACAAAGATTATTTTACGTATTTTTCTCTACATTTTGCTCTTGTCGATAGATGAAATTTAATATTGTGATGAAATGCAGGAACGCGAGAGATGTGAAGTGGCAGTAATTGCTCTCTAAAGACGTTAGCGCGTAAAAATAATATTAGGAGCCGCGGCAAACAGAACGCAAGGACCCGCCTCCTCGGCCGCAAATCCAGACTCTTCGGGGGTCGCATTGTTCTCGATCCCGCCGTCGTCGACATCATCAACGTCCTCGTCACGGTGACGTCCGTATTAGACATTAGACTACCAAATAAGTGGGTACGTTCCGCAGGAGGGGGGTCGGCCGGGGTGATCACCCCCATGTGGCACCCGCATGCCGCCCCCTGGGGGACGCAATCAGAACGTTTCAATCAACGGTCGCTCCGTGAGCCCAGGACGCCGGGGAAATCGGCGGGGGGGTAGCTGTAGTAGGGGGGCGGGGGGGAGGATTCGTGGGGTGAGACTCGTGATTACTCTGATAACCAACGTGCATTAAATCTTGGACCGAAGAGGGCGGAAACCCCTTCCGCCCTTTGTCGCCGAGTGGTTTTAAGGCGGTGACTCACGGAGCGCGCTTTAAAGTGGATGCGAGGGTCACGATCTTATCGCGATATCTTGTAACGACGCAGGAGAGATTTTCGCAGTAATTGGTTGGTCCGTTCGCTAGCTCTGCAGATGATTTTACACGTTCCACTTTTCACGAGCATTCGAAGTTTATTTTTACTGAAAAGAAACTCACTGTATAACAATGTTTTCACAGATCAAACAGTCACGCTTAATTGAAACGTGAAAACTGCAGTATAATAGTAATATAATAGCATCATGAAAATCGTGCACATTTATCACAAGGAAGATGGTGTCTATTTTCGAGATACAGTTCGGCTGGCTGTGCGAGTGCGAGTTAAAAATCAAACGACAAATTTATATAGAATTTCGAGACCGCGTGACAGAGTTCGGACGATCTCGCGTACGCTGGACGTTAGTTAAATAGTCGACGAGACGATCGGTACACGCAGACACGGGGCAATGTTGCGCCGGTCGTTCGGTCTGCTGATCCGCGATTTCGCCCGACCCACGCACACGCACGCACGGACCGTACGCGCGGGCGTGCTCGTAATCCGTGCGGACGCGAATGAATGGCGAATGAATGGGGCGCGGAGCGAATGACGAAAAGTTAATCACGGCTCACCATATCGTTGCGCGCCGGGTTTTCGGGGGGGGGGTGTACTGGAGGGACGGAGGGCGGGCGGGGCCGGGTGTCCCCTTAATTCTCTTGATTACATGGGCGTATCTCGATCGCGGGTTCCGATCCTGCTCCGCCAGGCACGATTCTACGTCTCTTTAGAGATCGTACACCACTGACGATCTCTATTTCTCTCTTTCGCATCGCTTTTTTTTTTCCATCCGTTTCCCGTCCCGCTCTCTTTCAACGAAGGTCCATATGGCGAAGTTTGTTTTGTGCGCGCTCGCAGTGCACTGTTACGAGACAATTACGACGGTTACGGCGAGTCATCTCGTCACGGATGGTCGCTTCAAAATGATTAGTCGGTGGCTAAATCGAGAGCAATACGAAAACGAGGAAAATAATCGCGCTCGTTAAAACATCACCGTAATTTGAAGTTGTATTTGTGAAAACTCTGGATGAATGCATTTTTTATCTGACAATGAGTTATATTACATGATAAGCGGGTTATATGAAATGCATATATATATATATATATATATATATATATATATATAATGCTAATAACATAATTAATATACAAAAACTATCTTTTAGCATATAAAATTGGTTGTAGACACAGAAAAAGTATTTTATAATCATACGGCGATAACTACACGGAAAGAACGATTTTGTTGAAAGGTCTAAAAATTTTGCAAAATACAGATCTGAAAATAATTTTCTGTTAAATCATCAAAATAATTTGTTGGAATGTTAAAACTGATAAACATTGCTATAAAACGTTTTGTTATTCTGGCAATCATTTTGACTTTCGCAAAAAATAGTTTGATTATTGAATACAAAATTATTTTCAGATCTGGATTCAGCAAAATTGTCCTTTCCGTGTATGCATTGACTTACGTGATCCTCTTATCAGACAGTATATAGAGACTTATCTCGAGGTCTTGAAGCGTAGATCGGCAGACGCTACCTAAAACTCCTAACGCGAGGACGAGGGCGGCGAAGGGCTTGAAAACTTTCGAGGGGGTAACTCGATTTCAGAGATTGTTCTATTGGTAGTGAGTGCCAACCGGCAAAGTGAATTGTAAAGTAATTGCATAAGATTAGTAGCGCCGGGCGCGGAAGGCACTCTGTCGGTTACTTCCAGTTCAATGAGTCTCAACGACTTTACTTTGATTCGTTCTCTCTCTTTCTCTCTCGCTCCTCTCACTCTTTTCTGTCTTCGATACTGCCCTCCTCTCGAAGTTTCCACCCCCCCTCCCTCCCGTCGTCGTTCCCGTCTTCCCCGTCTTCCCGTAGTCTTTTCTCCCCTCCGCGCTCACTTTGTGTTCCATTTGCGTTTCATCGGGCTAATTTGTTGAGATACCGCTTGCCAATATTTCAGTCCTTTTTACCTCATTGGCTTGAATAAAGGGGAGCGTTTGAACCGCGATCTCGAAGCGGATAATTGCTTTCCTGTTGCTTGTGGCGATACGACGAGATCTTCGAATAGCCCGTGAGAGTGAAGCTTTATCCTTCTCACCGTGCGAATTTCACAGAAACGTTATGTTAGGATAATCGATGAAAGGGAATACCCGGCTTCATTAGCAACCGCACTAGAAATAATTGACTCAATGATAGCATTCGTGAAAAAAATATTTATATACGAATTTACATTCATTTTGTGATTGTCCAACATATTTGGTTCTGTGAATTCCATGAATTTTGATGCAAAGAG